GTATGGCCAGACCGGGTCCGGTGTACAGCTTCTTGTGGCAGATGTGACACTTGAAGTGTTTGGCCTTTTGGTGTTGGATCAGTATCTTCTCGTCATCGAACTCACGGTTGCAATACCTGTCATCACATAAACATCAGCAACACATCCCATCTCTACCACACCATCAATACATACCAACACCACGGCTTCGACGGCTTCTTCTTCTTGCGACCCATCGGTTCCGATGTCTTCAGTCAAATGCTTATTCAAATCAATTGATTATTGAATGCAAACAATATTTACAAAAATGGCGAACATTTGAGTCATTCGTTCAGAAATTACGCCAATATTTGATTGTTTGGCAAAAGTTTGACAATAATTGGTCTCTAATTGTCTGAAGAGATGATCACTTCATTCGGTATTAATATTATATATTTTATTGTAAATCCAATTGTATTTAAATATTAAAAACACTATAATTAATGATTTATTGCATTTTATTTACAAATTAATGATTAAATTATGTCCTAATCTATTAGTGAATAACTACTTCCAGAAGACATTTAAGTCTTCAGAACAGAATCTGTAAAACGTTTCGTTTGTATTCATTTAAAGAACTTTTATCTTCTTTTTGATCGAAAAGTCGTGAAACGGATTCAGAGAATGATTTGACTCTTTGGTCGTTTAGGATCTCTTCGTCTTTAAGTTCGGGTTTGATTTGTTTCATATATGAAACAATAGTTTTCTTGGATTCACTTTTATCCCAATAAAACTTCTCCCAATCCTCTTCTGTCTTCTCGTCCTCCCATTCCTCCACTTTCTGTTCAAAAAACAATTCATTAATTGTCATAAAAATTGGACACAAGTATAGGAAGAAAACGAACCAAAGACTCAAAGTAGACGGCAGTCAACAAATAGACCGCGTATTCGTAGTTCTGTTTTCTTGTCGGACACTTGGAAGCGGTAATAGTGATTGTGTCGGTCTTCTTGTTATACCTCTCCCGTAACAAACGTTTCATTTTGTCGGTCGCGTGAGAATCGAGGGGCAAATCACACATTTTGATCGACAACTCGACGATACGATAGTCTGGCCATCGAATCGATGTCCCGCTGAACGCAAACTCTTGAGTCTTGATCTGAAGGGGAAAATGTTTGTCACACTTCTCGTCGGTGTCGAGACCTGCGGGCCATTTGGTACAGAAACGCTTCAACGCCTGACAATGCTTTTGAATGGCGAGTGGAGACAAGTGGAGAAAATTGGGAATTTTCAACAGTTCCGGGTTGTGGTACTTCCCGGCCGGCAAAATACGAATGGCCGCCATATCTCAGGCCAACATCAAGTGTGTCGGCTCGCACTGCGGCGTCTCTATTGGAGAGGACGGACCCTCACAAATGGCATTAGAAGACATCGCGATGTTTAGGACAATCCCTTCCGCTACTGTTTTCTACCCCTCAGATGCCGTGTCTATGGAAAGGGCTGTTGAGTTGTCGGCGCAAAATCAGGGAATTATGTATATCAGAGCCTCGAGACCTAATTTCCCGGTTATTTATAAATCAAACGAAGTGTTTGCCATCGGAAAGGCTAAAGTTGTGAAGAAGTCAGAGTCGGATAAAGTGTTGCTAATCGGGGCCGGAGTGACACTTCACGTGGCCTTAAATGCGGCCAAACTATTACAAGACAAACATCACATTAACGCTCGAGTCATCGATCCCTTCACTATTAAGCCAATAGATATTGAGACCATTCTGTCAAACGCTAAACAATGTGCCGATAAAGTGATCACAATTGAAGATCCAGAAGGAGGTTTAGGAGAAGCGGTCGCTTCAGCTCTCAGTCAGCACTCAATTAGAGTTCATATTCTGGCCGTCAGAGAGATTCCCCGATCGGGTCCTCCCGAAGCTCTCATTGAAAAGTATGGAATCGGAGTTAAGGCTATCGTTGAAGAAGTCTTAAAATTCAAATAATTTGTAATCAATTATTATTGTTTGTTATAAATAAAAGATTTTATACTGATTTTAATATGTATTTCTATAAAAATAAATATTTTCTTTTCTATTACTTTAAACAAGGATCACACAGCGATGCTATACGTTAACCACAATTCGGGTGATGCATAAGATTAGTATTATTCATAGGACTAGCATTAGTCCCATAGACTTAGCATTACCCATGTTCACCCTATGTCATAGACTTAGCATTGCCTATAGACTTACCATTACCCATAGACTTATCATTGTCATAGACTTAGCATTGCCCATAGACTTAGCACTGTCCACAGACTTAGAATTGCCCATGTTATTCCTATGCCATAGAGTTAGCATTATCCATGTTATTCCTATGCCATAGAGTTAGCATTACCCATGTTATTCCTATGCCATAGACTTAACATTACCCATAGGATTAGCATTGCCATAGACTTAACATTACTGGCCGTCAGAGAGATTCCCCGATCGGGTCCTCCCGAAGCTCTCATTGAAAAGTATGGAATCGGAGTTAAGGCTATCGTTGAAGAAGTCTTAAAATTCAAATAATTTGTAATCAATTATTATTGTTATAAATTAAAGATTTTATACTGATTTTAATATGTATTTCTATAAAAATAAATATTTTCTTTTCTATTACTTTAAAAAATAATTTTTGTATTCAATTAAATAAAACAATTGTCTAGAAATGCATTCATCCATTTAAACAATAGTCACAAAATAGATTAAGACCTAAATTTTATTCCTTATCAGATTTTCCTAAGTATAAACATTTCTTAATATAACAAAATTCTCACAATTATATTACTATACTGTGAAGGCTTTGTCTATTATATTGTTTATAAATAACAATTAGTAAACTATTGTAATTAATTAATTTTGTTTAATCGCTTTTATAATCAGTGAATGTTTAAAATATAAAAATATTTCAATTTAATTTCATAATAATTTTCATTCAATGCATTGAATATGACATCAAATTCTCTATTAAACGATTAAAATAATGATAAAGTAATGCATTTATAACTATTACAGTATTACATAATTGTATTGAATAATATCGTTGTTATCAATGAAACATTAAATTATATTTAACTGAATTGAAAGTGTGTCTACAATTCAAGTTCACATACAGTAATACATCCATGTTTTGGATTCAATGAAGAATATCTGTTTGTCTGTGAAGTGACTGTCATTGACATAAATATCAAATGATATATCATTAATAGTTTTACAGACATAATAATGTCAATAACTAATTCAAAAATACTATAATTTTATTCTCACTATAATTACAGACAATTAAATACAAACATTACATCTTATAATGAATAGCAATTCAAATATAGATTCAAATTCAGTGCAAAGGATTGCATGTCTTGTTAAACACATTACCATTAAATGAAATCAAAAATTATGTCCAAAACTTTACGTTCAAATAAAAATAATACATATTTAATAAAAATTAATGCAATTATTTAGTGACAAAACTTTAATTTTCGGTCAAATTAAAAGGTTTACAAATAAATTAGATTAAATTAAAAAACATCGACTTATCATTGATAAGCAATCAATCAATTCTACTAATAATTATATTCATAAATCATTATAAATAGTTTAGTTGCAAATAATTTAAATAAAAGTCAAAACCATTGGTGTCTAAGGAAACAAAATTAAAGATAAGGTTCGGCTAAAGACCTTAATTCTGGTCTGAGTTTTGCGGCAGTTTTGGCCACAAATCGGAGAATATTAGAATCGCTTGAAAGACGTGTGGATTGGTTGGAGTCGATCACCATTTGTGGTTCAGTCGTGTCTTTGAATATAAAACTGAAGATCAGATCGCTTTCCAAACGCTTCTCGACTCCGCTTTCATCACAATTGTTGTCGAACTCGAGTGAAGACAATATTTTGTTCAATTCATCCGATTGTGAATCAGATGTGCCGTTAAGAGTGGAGTGGAAATAAAATTTGGTCAATATTTTCACTCCAAAGTTCTTCATCTGTTTTATAACAGACAATACGGAGACCACAAGTTGTGATACACCGCATGTGATGACCATATCTTTAGCACCGCATCCAACTAATGAACAAATGGCCGCTTTGTCACCGCTTCCCACCGGCAAAGAAGTGGCCTTCACTTGACCACTACCTCCGACTGTGGAGAAAGGGGTACTCTTCTTCTTAGTGTCAGTCTTGGGAGCGGCAGAGCGTTGAGAAGATTGTGGTTTAGTGTCTGAATCCAACGCTTCCTCCAACACACGGATGCGCTTTAAGAGTAACTCTTGTCTCGCCTTCAAGTCTTTCAATGGATTCAACGCCAACTGTGGGTCCAATTGAGTGATGAGCTGATGATCCATGAGTTGTCCATTCATTGGTTGGTCCGGGAAGTGGTTGTTGTGATAAATGAGAGGCATTTCATACATATTAGTGGACAACACGACTGATTGTGTGAAGTGTTTGCCGTAAATGTGCGGCAATTGATAGAAATGGATATCACTGTAGATGTTATCCAATGTGTTGTCGATTACAGCCATTGGAAAGACCTTTAGATAAAGCGGTTATCACTTGAAAGCAATGCAAATACTGTGCAAAACGTGTCCAAAGTTTGCATTAATTATTGCCAACCATTCATACGATTCACTCAAACGATTGTTTAATCGCTTCACAGCTATAACTGCCAGACGTTTACAATTCATTTCCAACACTATTATTAGCGCCAATACATCACTACTAGTCTCACACACTTCCCGTTCCCTCACTTCCCTCCCGACTATAGCTATTGCTTATATAAGTGTAATTTTAACTGTTAATTAAATTTAATTTAATTTAGGAAATAATTAATCAATTATATACACAAATCGATACTTAATATGTGTTTAATTGACGAAATATATGACTGGTTTACAATTGGGATAATATTAGGGAACGGGTTTAGCGGTTGTTTTGCGACACTAGTAGTGAACGCATTGAAAGCACACTCTCTATGACGTAAAGTAAGCATTGATTTTGTGATTGAATGCAAAATACAATACAATATCAAAACAAACCGTAAATACAGTAACAATCAAAGCGATGGCAAATCATGTGTTCAACAATTTATGTCTTCACAAGAGACTCACCCTATTGTCAACCAATCCGTGCCTTAAGTTCTTCAGATTGAGCTCAACTCAAAGTCAGGCAAACGATGAAAAGTTGGCTCAAGAGTTGGGATCCGATAAAAAGGACGACGAGTTCAGGAAATTGAATTTAATGCCAGGAAAAGCGCAGCAAAGATACGACACTAAGAAATACTTCGGAGAGGTTTGACTGAATCGACCGCTCAGTATGAATATCAAGTGTCTTATAATTGTTGTCAACAGATCCGGAGTCCCAGATATAAGCGAATGAAGACAAACCAGGACTGGACTAATGTGTGGCCAAACGCGCGGGTCTTTCACCCGTCGACCGTTCCGTTGCCGATATATATGGGATGGACTGTTCCCGACTCGAGCGAAGTGCCGGCCGGGAAGTACCACAACCCGGAACTGTTGAAAATTCCCAATTTTCTCCACTTGTCTCCACTCGCCATTCAAAAGCATTGTCAGGCGTTGAAGCGTTTCTGTACCAAATGGCCCGCAGGTCTTGACACCGACGAGAAGTGTGACAAACATTTCCCCCTTCAGATCAAGACTCAAGAGTTTGCGTTCAGCGGGACATCTATTCGATGGCCAGACTATCGTATTGTCGAGTTGTCGATCAAAATGTGTGATTTGCCTCTCGATCCTCACGCGAGCGACAAAATGAAACGATTGTTACGCGAGAGGTATAACCAGAAGACTGACACAATCACTATTACCGCTTCCAAGTGTCCGACAAGAAAACAGAACTACGAATACGCGGTCTATTTGTTGACTGCCGTCTACTTTGAGTCTTTGGTTTGTTTTCTTCCTATACTTGTGTCCAAATTTGATGACAACTAATGAATTGTTTTTTGAACAGAAAGTGGAGGAATGGGAGGACGAGAAGACAGAAGAGGATTGGGAGAAGTTTTATTGGGATAAAAGTGAATCCAAGAAAACGATTGTTTCATATATGAAACAAATCAAACCCGAACTCAAAGACGAAGAGATCCTAAACGACCAAAGAGTCAAATCATTCTCTGAATCCGTTTCACGACTTTTTGATCAAAAAGAAGATAAAAGTTCTTTAAATGAATACAAACGAAACGTTTTACAGATTCTGTTCTGAAGACTTAAATGTCTTCTGGAAGTAGTTATTCACTAATAGATTAGGAAATAATTTAATCATTAATTTGTAAATAAAATGCAGGAAATCATTAATTATAGTGTTTTTAATATTTAAATACAATTAGATTTACAATAAAATATATAATATTAATACCGAATGAAGTGATCATCTCTTCAGACAATTAAAGACCAATTATTGTCAAACTTTTGCAAAACAATCAAATATTGGCGTAATTTCTGAACGAATGACTCAAATGTTCGCCATTTTTGTAAATATTGTTTGCATTCAATAATCAATTGATTTGAATAACCATTTGATTGAAGACATCCAACCCATGGGTCGCAAGAAGAAGAAGCCGTCGAAGCCGTGGTGTTGGTATGTATTGATGGTGTGCTAGAGATGGGATGTGTTGCTGACGTGTTTGTGATGACAGGTATTGCAACCGTGAGTTCGATGACGAGAAGATACTGATCCAACACCAAAAGGCCAAACACTTCAAGTGTCACATCTGCCACAAGAAGCTGTACACCGGACCCGGTCTGGCCATACACTGCATGCAAGTGCATAAGGAGACCATCGATAAGATCCCGAACGCGTTGCCGAACCGAAACAATGTGGACATTGAGATCTATGGCATGGAAGGCATTCCCGACGGCGACGTCAAAGAGCACGAGAAGTCCAAAGGCTTTGAGTTCAAGCCTCAGACTGAGTCAAAGCCGCCGCCGACGGCCATCACGTCTCCACCGGTGGCGCCAATGATTCCGATGCCGGGCATCGCAAACGCCCCCCTTTCGGGCCTAATGTCGATGCCTTCGATGCCCTTTGGTTTACCCCAAAATCATCAACACTTCGCTAACTTCGCGGCCAATATGTCTGCTCCGCACTCGAGTCACCCATCAATGGGACCGTTTGGAGTGGCAGTCCCTCCGCCGCCGTCGTTAGTGCCGCCGCACACCTTAATGTCTCGCTCCGGACCCTCAGGTTTACCCCATAAACCTCTCTTCCCTTCAGTGAGCTCGACATCAACAGCAAATCACAGCTCAATTGTTGGCACAGACTTCAGACCATTAGGTTTTAGCTTAAACTCGGGTCCAAATAATGCTTATATGACAGCAAATACAAACTCAAACAATGCAACGGTCAGTGCGTCGGCCATCATCTCTAGGCCGGCGTCCTCTGCAATGATCGGCACATCGAGCGGAACGACACGTATAATACATCCGGAAGAAGACATCTCACTGGAAGAGCTGAGAGCGCGTCAAAACAAATACAAACTTATAGTTACACAACAAATGTCTCAATCGATGAATGGTGTGAACCCTAACGTTGCCGTCTATACGACTCCAATGCCCCCCAATATGTCAATACCTGGACCCCCTTCGGGACACTTACCGCCCTCTCTCTCCACTCATCCCTCATTCCAATCGACTTTTCGTCCGGCGTTTTGAGATAAGTCTTAAGTAAAAGAAATGTTTAAATGAATTGATTTTTTGTACCGTAATACCTGGTTTAGAAATGCATGCAATACTAAGTCAATATCAGTAAAGGGGTGCAATACTATCTAGGTAAGATTGCACTCTATTTTAGGGCAACTGGAATTTTTTTTAAAAATGACATAATATTGCATTAATTTATATGCTTTTCTAAAAACAGTACAATTGTTTTAAAAGTCGTTTTGCCTTAAAACTTTGGCTTAACGATTGAATATACAGTATTGGATCATTTGGGTGAAGTAGCAGTTGTGTTAACTAACCATTTGTATAAACCAAACCCTGAAACCAAAACCCGCACTGCATAAATATAATGTTACAAAAAGTACCATTTGTGTGAACAATTTGGTACTATTATTATACAACATTCAATGCATTTTAGGATCAGTTGTGTGAACATTAAAAAAGTAAAACCTTTTATGATATATAGAGGACAGCTTTAATAACATGTTTTTTTTGTACAAAAATTGTATTAAAATATTGGCCAGAAAACATAGCGATTAGTTTATAAGTTAATCAAAATCATTTGTTAATTGTGATTAAAATGTCTTCAAAGCGCTATTGAGCAAAAGTACACAATCGTTAATCAAATTAAAAGTGGTGAAAAATAAATGTAAATCATATTTTAAATATAAGATCATTTGTATGAATGAATCATTTGTGTGAACCAAATGCTAAAACCAAATCACTTTACCCAACTGATCCAATACTGTACATTTCTTGTCAAACATTGTGTTTAATTAGAATAGAAAGTCCCGAAATTTTGAATTGCTTGCAAATTCTGACATAAATAAAGTCATAAACATTGATATAAGTGATAATGACTTGGATTTGATGTTAAATAGTGGCGAATGTAAGTCAGACACAAAGTTGACCACAAATAATGTGGCCAAAGATATGTCTTAGACGGCTGTCTCAACTCAGCGGAAAATCCTATCGCTTTATATTCTGTATTGAATTTTACATACTATTGCATGCAATGATATGTCATTTTTAGTGAAAGGGTGCAATACTACCTAGATAAGATTGCATATGATTTTGAAAAACACGATTTTACTGAAATTGACTTAGTATTGCATGCACTACTAAGCCAGGTATTACGGTATATTTTAATTAATTGATAATTTTTGAACAAAAAGTTGATTTCATTATTGAAATCAAGTCTCAATTGATTCAAAGATGAAAGACTCAAGTTTTTAACACTATGTGAAAATGTCAGGTATTTTGTC